TCCCTTCTGCTCTCTCTGAAAAAGTGGAAAAAATATCCTCGGGTGAGGATTAAAAAACATGCACAGAAATACTAAATCAAAAGAAAGATGACAACAGTCCAGTCATTGCTTCCCCTCACCTCTGGTCTTTGTGGGCTAATCGTGATTTTTTTTCTCTTTCCAACCCCACGATTGCTGTCCTAGGAGGCAAGCACACTGCCGTGCAGTAGACACTGAGACACTCACACCCCTGCCCCGTCCCCAGGAAAAGGAGTCAGATGCATGAGTAGTGGCTTCGCCAGTACTGACAGCTGCCAGCCCCCTGACATTTATAATGACTGGTGAATTGCTTCAGAAAGTTTCAGAAATCTTAGGCTTGCTTTAGATTTTGATCATTTTAACTGAAAATAGAAAAATAAGCCTTCCATATAGCTCCCATATTACTTTAAAATATTCATAAGACTATGACACAATGCTTTTAAAAAGGCCCAAGTGGATGTTTTGAGTCCTTAAATGGATTCTCTTTATAAATGACTCACCATTTACAGCGCTGAAGCAATTATATATTTGTGTTAAATTTAATGTGGTATATTGGCGCTCAAGCCGCTCTTTTGTTTAATGCTTTGCCTTAGAAATAATTGGGATGCGTGGATTGTGGGGGAGTGCATTTATGAAAGAATTATTTGTAATGTATACATTCTGGCTGGAATTTAAATAAGCACAGCCCATAGGTCTGGCATATATGCCATTAGTTGTAATGGCTTTTGGATGCTGGCCCAGCACGCAGACTCCTTGCGCCCTCCTCGATTTATATATGGCTTGTTATAATAGAGTTGTCATTCTCTCTTCTTTTTATGTTTTTATATTGCCATATAGCTTATTAGCTTTTTAAGCCTGTCTGTAGCATAAATACTCTAAATGGGAAATGATTTTTAAACTGCATTTGTCTAATTTTTTTGATGAAGTATTTTAGTAAGAAAAGCTAGAAACTATCAGTATGTACAAGATGCTTGGCTTATTCTTATATAATTCTTTTTTTGTTGTTTTTTTATTGCTGCAGAGCCCACAGTGCGGACTGAGCTGATGGAACAGATTCCTCCTGTTGCCATTTTTTTACAAGAAAACAGATCAAATTTTCCAGTGGTGTTCTCCGAATATCTTATACCTATTGTAGTGCGGTACCTCACAGATCCAAACAATCAGGTCTGAAAAATCGTAACCTTAAGGTGTCTGTAGCAAATCCTCTTTAGTCTTATTTAACTAACCTTCATAATTCAGAAAACAGAGTTAGGTGATCCAGGCACAAAGGTCTGTTTGTGCCCAGTCCCTCTAATCACATAGGAAGGTAGACAGCACCCATTCATATTATCATGAGATGCTTCTTTTTTTTCTTTTTTTTTTTTTTATTATGGAAACTTCCAAACACACATAGATGTAGAGAGAATATTAAAATGAATGCTTGTGTTCTGTTCACCCAGCTTCAACTATCATTAGCATTTGACCAGTCTTTTTTCATTTCTCTTACCAACATAAATCCAACCCAGATAAAAGCAGTTCCTAGATACTGTATCATTTCAGCTGTGAATGCTTTAGTATTGCACTCTGAGAAATATAGACACTTTAAAAACATAATGACGGTACCATTATCACAAGTGTAAAAATTATTGGTAGTTTCTTAATATCATCTGCCATCTAGTCATTGTTCAAATTTTCCCAGTTTTCTCATCAGTCTGGTTTTGCAGATAGTCTGTTCACATCAGAAGACACACAGGTTCACACTTGGATTTGGTTGACATGTCTTTAAATCTCTTTTAATTTATAAAGTTCTCCCTCCCTTTTGCTCCTGCAGTTTGTTTGTTGAGTAAACTGGGTCATTAGTCCTGTCAGATTTGCTTCACTTGGGATCTGGCTGATCTTGTCCCCATCATGTTGTTCAAGATGTTCCTCTAGTTTCAGTATTTCCTACACTGGTGGTAATTTAGAGGCTCTGTCAGACTCAGACTTTTGTGTCGCACAGTGAGAATTTGTTCTGGGTGCTGCTGTGTTTTCCTGCAGCATCAAGTCAGGGAGCAGAAAGCTGTGTGGTCACTTGGTGCAGGTTTGTCAGCCTTACCTGTTCATTACGAAATCTCTATCAACCCATGAGCAGCCATGGGTGATCATTGCCCACATCTAGGATTTCATTAGATGTTCATATTCCATCATTTTTTCATTTCATAGCTGGGAGTCTTCTGTAAAGAACTCCCCTCTCAGCTTTTGGTAACCCTGAAAGTCTTTTTGTCCAGGGAAGACAAGATAAATGCTTTATTTTTCCCTTTATTTACCAGTTTCTAGTGTCCTAATAATCTACAAATGTTACCAATTAGGTTTTAATAATTTGTTTATTGTGAGTATTGTAATGAACCTGTGATTTTAACATATTAGATGTTTTCATCCATTGCAGTCTTTTTTTTTAATGAACAAATTATCCTAGCTTTGACCAGATGGCCCCCTTTAAGTTAGCTCCTGAATCTTCTTGACATGACCCATAGACTTGGATAGCTCACCTCTACCTGCAACTGGCCATTTCTCCAGAATGGCCCAGTTCCTTTAAGAGGGAAATGATAATGGGAAGCCTGAGTGTGGGTACCGCAGATGCTCATTGCTACGAGATTAGTCATTGCTTCTAGTGACAGAGCAATTGATTTTCTTAAAAACTGAAAATTCCTCCTGAGGCTATATTGATATTTCCAACTTAAACTTAGGATTATAGGGTTTTTACTTACTTGATTTTATATATGTATATATATTTTTTACACAGTACAAATCTTGCTCCCTAATGGTATTAACATGTATGTCTGTGTGTATCTAAAAGGAAAATACCAGTGCTATTACCAACCCTATGGACTGTATTTTAAGCTTTTCTTGTCCTCAGGCTGTCTGCCCTGGAGACACACAGTCATGTAAGCAGTCCTGCATTTTCAAGTCACTTGCATCAACCCTTCTCGTGGCGAAGCTGATAACTTGATATGCATTTAGGCTCATTTGTTTTCATTTGTAGGAATTGCTTTAGCTTTTACATTTTGATATAATTTAGACTTATAATTAGTTAAAATGTTTTTATGTGATTCCACAGGAAAAGCTGTAAAGCAGAGTAAGTACATTCAGAGAAACCTGACTTCCATCCTGATCCCCCTGCCTGTCTCTTCCTCCCTGTAGATTTTTTAGGGGTAATGAATAAACCATTTTGAATAGGTTTTGGTTTATTCTTACCTTTAAAAAATACACACACATATAACTAAACAAACACACATATGTCCTTGTATTCTGCCCCCTCTTGTTCCTCTCAGATGCAAGGTGGCTACTGTGCCTGCTGCTCTGTCCCTTGCTTTTCCCCCCATCTAGGATATCCTGGAGGTCAGTCCATAGCAGTCCAGGGAAAGCCTCCCGTTCCTTTTTCCTGACTGCATAGTATTCCACTGAGCACACGTACCATAGTTCATTGATAGACATTTAGGTTATCTCTGCTTCTTTGCCATGTTAAAATTGTTGCAACAAATAGCCTTGCATCATTTCTGTCTGTATCAGTTTATTTTGGGGCGTTAAATATATTTGTAATTTTTTTTTTTAATATATCTTTATTGATTTCAGAGAGAGGAAGGGAGAGGGGGAGAAAGAGACAGAAACATCAATGATGAGAGTCATCACTGATCAGCCGCCTCCTGCATGCCCCTGACTGGGGATCAAGCCCAGAACCCAGACATGTGCCCTGACTGGGAATTGAACCGCGATCTCCTGGATCCTAGTTTGATGCTCAACCGCTGAGCCACGCTGGCCGGGCTGTAATTTTTTATAATATGCCAAGATTTCATCATTGTTATTTTCAATAAATTCTACAATGTGGGCTTGTATTTCTACAAAGAGCAGATACTGCTCTAGTAGGTTTTGTTCAGTGGTTAGAGCATTGGCTCTTGGACTGAAGGGTCCTGGGTTTGAGGCTGGCCAAGGTCGTGTACCTCAGTTGCAGGCTCCATCCCTGGTGATGGGTCAGGGCTCATGTGGAAGGCAGCCAATTGATGTGTCTCTCTCACATCAGTGTTTCTCTCCCTCTCTCTCTCTCTCTCTCTCTCTCTCTCTCTCTCTCTCTGTCTGTCTGTCTCGCTCCCTCCCTCCATCCCTCCCTTCATTCCACTGTCTCTGAAAGCAATCGAAAAAATATCCTCAGGTAAGGATTAAAAAAAGAGCAAATACTCACTTCTAACTGTTGAATAGTATGACAGGATTAAAGGTAGTTTTCAAAGAAGGAAAAAATTCACCCTATTTCCACTCTCCTAACATCAGTATTTTGATTAGTTTTGCATTTTCTTCTCCAGGTTCTTAACATTTCCCTCACACAGATCTGATCATAACTTGATTTCTTCCATTCATTCATTTCTTTTTTTAAACATGTTTTTATTGATTTTATTGACTTCAGAGAGAGGAGGGGAGAAGGAGAGAGAGAGAAACATCAATGATGAGAAAGAATCATCGATCCGCTGCCTCCTGCATGTCCCCCACTGGGGATCGAGCCCACAACCTAGGACTGTGACCTCCTGGTTTGTGGGTCAATGCTCAACCAGTGAGCCACACTGGCAGGGCTGTTCATTCATTTCTTCAGACAGGTTCTGAGTGCCCCACGAGGAGCCAGGCACAGGGCTTTGTGCTGGGGCTAAAGAGATAAGTAGGGCACCCCCTGTGTTCCATCCCTGCCTTCTTTAGACACAGAAATATGGTGAAGTCATCTCAGACTCTTTAATGCCCCTGGGCACAGTCCGCCTCCTGTCCCCATCCCACCACTGATGCACAGGCACCTGCCAGTCCCTTCATGCTCTGGTTCCTTCTGAATGCCCCTCTCCTCCTACTCCCACCAGTCTCTGCCTCACTTGCACAGAGACCGGCCCTTCCAGATGTCCACAGTGGGGCCATCGGGAGTGCCTGAAGGCCCCTTATGAGTTAAGATTCTCTCTTCAGCAGAGGTGCACATTTTTGTGCATGTGGGAGTGGGTATTGCATGTCCCACCCAGCATGGCATCTCAGGCCAGCCTGTCTCTCTGTTCATCATCAGGTACTTTTCATGGCCATTGAACATGCAGTGACTCCTGTAAGGCATGAAATTAACAAAAATGGGCATATTATCAATATCATGATGACTGCTGCTACTTAACAGCTGCCCTTGCTGGGGCTCTCCCTGTGACATACCATGTTCAGTATTAGCCAGGAGTCTCTGTTTACCCTTCCTAACCTCCCTATGAAGTATGGGCACCCTTGTTAATTCTTCCTTGCTGTAGAGGTGAGGAATCTGAGCTGCAGAGGTGTGGTTGTGTTTAGGGGGGAGCAGCGGTTGGAGGAGGAGCGCAGGATGTCAGGTTAGTCTCACAGGCCCATCTGTTGTATGTTTTAGGATTGCCCAGGCACATCTGTTGTATGTTTTAGGATTGCCCAGGCACTTCTGTAACCGGTATTTTCTCTCCTATTCTAGACTCTGAGCCCCTTACTGTTCAGACTGGGTCTTACTTACCTCGGACCTAGCTCAGGGTCTGGTATTTGGTAGATATTTTCAGTAAAGAATCATAGAACTGAATCAGCTGTAAACACTCCACATTTCTTCAGCTGTCGTGAGCTACTCGCCGTGTGTCTTGGGAATGGATGTCCCATCCCTTTCTCATTTCTGATGTCTTCATTTTCTCTTAGGTTCTATCTTCTGTCTCATAAGCTAGCTTAATTTTCCAGTCTCTCATGTTGGCTTTTCTTTTTTGATTATAATCATGCCTAAATTTCCCTCGTCTTTGTCTCCTGCCCTTGACCCTGAACACACACTCACTACTTTCCCTATTGCAAGCTTCTTGAACAAGGAGCCTCCCCAGCCCCTATCCCTGAGTGGGCTCCCGGCTGAGCCTTGGCTATTGCACTGCACTGATGCTCCCAAAAGCCATGGACTCAACTCATGTCATTGTGAAATTCAGTATTTTTTTTTTCTCTTTCAAAAATAGTTTTATTTTCTAAAATATCATAAAATATTTTAATCACACCAGAGGATTGTGTAATAAACACCCACATACCCAGCACTCTTATTTGACAAGTGTTAACATTTTGCAATTTTGCTTCTAACCTTTTTGTTTATAGTTAGAGATATGGTTAAAACTGCTCTGTGTCCTGTACCCCATTCTTCCCCCTCCCTCCCTCCTGTAGAAAACGGCCATCCTGAGCTCGGGCGTCCCCCCTAACAGGGTTTTCTAGTCACACCATGTGTAAGTGGCCCTGACTGAGACAGGGCCTTGTTCAGGTGCTTCAAGGCCTTGCTAAGTGGCGTCAGACTGTCCTCTCTGCTCTGCCGCTTGCTGGTATTCCTCTGTTTTTAAGATCTACCCCCATTGATCCGAAAGCTCTTGGTCATTCATTTTAACTGTTTTATGGAATTGCATTTCTGTTCTCCCACAATTTTCCCTTGGCTTGACCCGTTTGTACCATTTGTCACTGTTAAGCACTTTTGTGTTTTTGAAGACCCCTTTTCTGGGATGCCCACCAGGCATTTCATGGCCCTATCCCAACAGTGGGATGAAAAGATGACCAGGATGTATTTGTTCTCTGCTCTTCCTGGGCTGGGGTCATCCTGACTCCTCCCTCTCTGGGCTTCTCACACTGTGATCTTTGTAAGATCCTAGCCAGCTCTCATCTGGGGCATACTGTGTTAAACCCTAGTCTGAGCCCTTCTGTCTATTAGGTCATTCACCACACAGCCACCTGTGGCATGGGCACTGTTACTATCCACTGGGACAGAGGCACAGGCCAGGGCTCCAAGGGGCTAAGTCCCACACCCTAGATGCTCCAGCTAGTAATTGCAGAGCACAGGTTGGGGCTCAGCAGTCACCCCACTGTGGTGTCCCGTCGGGCTCTTAGGAGCCCTCCCTGCCTCGTCCCTTCCTCCTTGCTCGCGTTGTCTGCAGTCTCTGCCCTGGTCCTCGCCTGTCCTCCAGCGTATTGTCTGGTCTTTTTCTCACAGTGCTAGGATTCCCTCCGTCTCAGCTTCTTCCATGGGCCTAGGGAGACCCACCTGTGGTGATCACCTGACTGCTGTCCCTCACCCATATCCATCTCCACAGCCCACAGATGGCTCTCCCTGGAGATGTGTTGCACCACGCAGAGCTCAAGACTCCAGCACCTGCACCTTCCTCTTTCCCCTCAGTCCTGCTTCATCCCGTTTCTGGTGGCTGCCGGTTTCCTTGGTTCGTGGCCACATCACTCCCATCTCTGTCTCCATCTTCACGTGCCCTTCTTCCCTCTTTTGTCTGTCTTCTCCTCTTGCCTTTTCCTTGTAAGGACCCTTGTGATTACATTCAGGGCCCACCCCAATAATCCTGGATGACCTCCAGATCCTGAGCTTGATCACATCTGCAAAGACTTTTTCTCCAAATAAAGTCCCATTCAGAAGATCCAAGGATTTGACATGGATATAACCTTTGGGGGCCACCTTTCACCCTTGGCAGGCTTCGAACTGCCTGTGACACCTGGCTCCATATCCACTCAGGGCTCCCCTTCACTGTCTGGGGCGGCCTCCCAGCTGTCCTCTGGCCTTTTGAGCCATCAGCTGGGATTGTGTCCCATAGGCAGGTGGCCGGCAGGCCTAAGTCCCCTGCTCTGTGGTCCTCTCATGTTCTCTGCTCCTGGCCTGTCAGACACTCACTATGTGCTTGACACCGCAGAGTTATTGGGGGCATTGCTGCCTGCAGTTGGATGCCCGGTCCCGTCACCGGTGCCTGGCGGTACTGCCTTTCTCTGTTCGCCTTTCCCACCGGGATCAGTGCAGTCACTATTCCACTGACCTCTGCCCTCAGTCTGCCATCGCCTCCAATTTCCTCCAAACACAGTGCCGGAATGATCTTCCAAAGTACTGTTTTCATCCTGTCACCTGTTCAGAAAGTTTCATGCTGGATTGCTGCTGTGGCTTCAGTCTCACAGGCTGGCTCTCTTGTAACTGCTCTCCGCTTGTCGTCTGTGACTCCATATACTCCTGGTCCATCACTGTCCTGCCTCACCAGCAGGCCGGGGCTGCTCACGACTAGCCCTATCAATTCAAATTTCTTGTGCTTTCATTTCTCCCAAAATGTCGTCTCCAGCATCCTAGGTTCCCTCGTCATGCTTGCTCACCCCCAGGCCAACTGCAAAGAACAGCCTTCTACCTTCCTCTTCTCTGCACTGAGTCCTCGCTTTCTTGTCCTGCCCTTGGGGCTCTCCTCTGAGCGCTGCCTGTGGCCTCCTGTTGCAGTTGATATTATTCATGCCCAGATGTGGTGGGAGGATGGTCCCTTTGCCTGGGGGTTCGAGGATGTATCCCGTGTCATCAACCCACTGCCAAGTGCTAAGGGTGCATCGGAGGACAGGACAAGTCAGACATGGCACCCTGCCTCATCTGGGTGGGAAAGACTGATGGCAATGTGTCATCATACAGAAAAACGTGTGTGTGTGCGTGTCTATATGAGTGGAGATCTGGGACACGAGTCATGAGACAAAAGTGCAGGGTGCTGTTAGGGTACAGGTGGGACCTGACCTGATGGGGTTCAAGGGAAGGGACGTTGGCCTGAGAGCATCGAATGGCAGGAGTCAGTTGGGCAGAGGGAGTGCACATTCTAAGGCCTGGGAAGGAAGTGTGACTGAAGGTTCCAGAACCGTGGGGGAAGGGAGGTGCTCTGGCTAGGTGCTCTGCTGAGGGAGTTTGGTCTTGATCCTGAGAGAACTTGGGCTTGCTCTGTGTTTCACCTTTGCCTTTTCCTCTTCTAGGTTAGAAAATCAAGTCAGGAAGTGCTCTTGATTCTTCTGGAGCAAGATCTGATTTTCCAGCCTGATATTGAGAACAAAGTGTGTCCAATCCTGCTGGCACTCTCTGCCCCGGATAGTGATGATGAATATAAAGCAGAAGCCGTGAACGTAAGTCTGCCTGGGGAGCGACAGCCCCCACGCCTTGTGGGCTGTCTGTGGCTGGGTGTGTGTGTGACTTGGAGTGTCACATGTGTTCACTTGGCCAGCCCTGTTCTCATAAACAAGGTGGCTGGTGGTTCGGCCTCGCTCAGAGAAAGTTTCCAGTTCAGATCTGAGTATGTTTGAAAGTGACTCTATCACCAATTGCTTTAAGAAGGCAACGCGAGGGATGTCAGTGATTTGGACAGAGTTGGGGTAGCTGGCTTCGACTTCTGCTGGGCAGGATGCTGAGATTTGTAGGTGTATCCTTAAACCTGCTGGGATCATGGACCGTGTTTCCCGAAGGAAGGAACCCAGTGTGACGTGGGAGATGACTTTAGGTGGTACCAGCACAATTAAAACCTAGTAGGCATGGGTCTGTTCTGTTGATTAGGTCAAGACTAAAGTGGGCATGTCAGCAAATAAGAAGGAGGCATTCTGAAGAGTGCAGATGTGGCCAGAGGTTAAAGCACTTTGGGAAATGCTGTGTTCAGTATTTGTGCTGATACCAGTTAAAGCTGTACAATTAAAAGAATAGTCTAAATACTGAATTTCTTCTGCTTTTAACAGTTTTGTGGTATACTTGGGTTTGTAGGATTCTGTACACATTGTGAAGTGATGGTTAATCGGGCTTTCTGCTCGCTTCTGGAATGAAGAGTCAGGCTGGTGGTCATGGATCCCCCAAGACCAAGACTCCCGAGCCTGTCCTCATGCCTGCTCCTTTGTGGCTCGAGAAGGTTCTCCAAGGCCATCTTGTTTTCTGAGCTGCTGCCCCCATTGCTGTCCACTGACCCGTGCAGGAGGTGCTGCCCAGCATGGCCTTTCTGTTTGTGTTCTAGAAGTGAACAGCTACAGCATTTTAGGAAACATCCTACCTGAAGATGTAAAAAATCATAAGCCTCAGTTATGAGTACAGTAAGATCTAGAAGATAGCTGTTTTCTTGGTTGGAAAAGAATGGCGTTAGAGGAAAGGAATTTTTTCTTTTTCAGAGTGTGGAAACGTTGTATACTTTGGAGCGAGAAAACTATATTAGAGCATCAGAGCACCTGGCAGTCTTCATTTATGTAAAAGTTTCCCTCAACTCGGAGTTAGAGGCCTAGCTTTTTAAACTAATTTAATATTTTGCGTATCCCATATGTTTATGAGTCAGGCTGAAGAATAATTGACTATTAAAATTAAAATTCTCCAGGGTTCTCTTATAAATTTCAAGTTTCTCTCTAAGAAATTAAATTTGTTGTGCGAAATGAACCTGGATAATATCATTAGTTGGGGTGTTTGGCAGTTGAGCAGTGAACTTTGCCAACTCTATCTTCTCTTTTGTTTGAGAGTTGGTTAGGCGAGTTTCCAAGGTTACGACTGACAACCAAGTATCTTATTTCTAAAGACTGATATACCATAAAAAATAATGCTAAAGCATTTTTGCATGAGTTTTATTTTGTTTTGTTTCTAGCCACTCCATTCTTGTCAGCAATATTGTTCTTCTTTGTGTGTGTGTGTGGTGAAAATTTTTGGGAAATATAACAAGCTTTCAGAAAGCTATCTCCACAAATCACTTCCAGAAGAAATTAGTTCATATAAATTGTATTTTTCATTCCAACTGAGTTGCTGATATCATTATTTGAATGTCTAAGCGGTCAGATGTGGCTGCAGAGAACAAAAGCGGGCTTGAGCCCTCTGCAGGCCTGGCACAGCTGCAGATCGGGGTCCTCTGGTGGGGCTGCACTTCACTCCCTGTGCCGCTCTAATGGAAGCCTGCCTGGCGTCTGGTCTGACCCGGCCCACGCCTGCTTTGGCCACATTCAGAAGCTGTTCCGACTTCCTTTCCTGGAGCCCCGAGGCCCAGGGGTCTTGGAGGCGACTCACTCCTTGGGCACCCAGAGTCGCGGAGCACACTGGGGCGCTGTGTCTTTTTAGCTAGGAAAGGACCCTATTGAAAACAAAGTGTGTTCAATCTTTGGACATCTGGGCAGAGAGTAGATTTCATTCTGCAAGGAAAAGGCCATGTGTGACTCGCAGAGCCCCAAGGGGGGCAGGGTTCTCAGTATTGATCTGTGAGCCAAACTCCAAACACTATGGGCACTGATGTGTACTTGTGAGGAGGTGATGTGTCAGGAGAAGTGAAGGGCTGCTCTGATGCCCTTGTGTTGGCGCCATATGGTGTGAATGTTGCTGCATCCATATGTACATAAACACACTCTCAGGACAGTGCCCTTTCATAGGAACTGCTTCTCACTCCCAGGAAATGTCAGGTCTCAACAGACAGGATGTGCGTCTCTCTGTTACACTTTTCAATGGATTCTGATGCCAGCAACCCTAGTGCACACATGATTAGGAAAATCGGAGCCAGCCAACTAGACATGTCCTGGGCATTCTTAAGCTGAGTTATGCAGAACAAATGACGTATAGGTTTCTTACATCCTGGTTTCTCACGCATGTATGCGTTCTGTCCTTTGAAGTCTTTCTAGCTACACCAGCACACGGTAGGGATGCCCTCCTTCATGCATGTCTTCTCTCATCCAGCAACTGAATCGTGAACTTCATTTGTGTATTTCCCCTTCCAAATGGTGAGCTGCTTAAACACAGTTGTCTTTCCCCCATTGGCACCCAGCACAGTGCCAGGCCCAGAGTCAGTACCAAGTAAATGTTTCTGAATGAATGGGTCGGTATAAACTGGAAGTGCTATATCCTGTAATTACATCTAGACAGCATAAACAGGCCACTGGAGACCAATTATAATTCCTCGTGCTTGCAAGAAGGCCATTAGCATTCTGAGATTATAACTAATTGTCAGAAGCCTGTTTTTCTCTCCCAACACGTTTTCACATTAAGGCTTCCTCATTTTTTGTCGTCATTCCTATTTTTAAGCTCATTTTTATTTGCACATTTACTTAAAAGAATGTTGTGGTTACGTGCAGTAAAGAATAGTTGGCTCCAAGCAACTAAGTGAAGCTTGTCATTCCATACAAGTGGTTCCCAGGGCCACAGGACTATCATTTCTTGTCACTCGGTGTGCTGACTTTTAATGATTCAGGCTTGGTTTTGTACAGGTAGTAATAAGGTCATGTGGGTGTGGTAGGTGGGCAGGGGTGGAGAGAGATTCTGGGCACTCTTTAGTTGCCCGTTACCCTGGATACAGAAGCCTGGCGTCTGTGCAGCTCTGCCTAGCGTAGGTCAGAAATACGTGTTCTCTGAGTTGGGAGGACACAGCCTTTTCCTCATTCATGTTGTGGGGACAGTTTCCCCTTCACTACCTTTCTTTCTTGTCTGCTGTGTGCAGATTCCAAATCCACTGAATAGCGGGTGGGCTGCTAACCCAGGACTTTTCTCTGCTGTAAGAGGGCAGCTGGAAAAGTGGACTCCAGAGACAAGCAGTCCTCTGTCCCCGCCCTGATCCCGTCCTCCCTCCCCTCTTTGCTTCCCCTTCTTATTCTTTTTCTTGGAGTGGGAGATTTCGTAAAAGTTTTTTGGGGGGGTAATTTTTCATTTTGTTTTAATTTCAAACTGGTAGGAAAGTTGCAGGAATAAACACCTATATACCCTTTATCCAGCTTCTGCATGGTTTATGTTCAGCGCCATTTGTTTTATCATGTTCTCTCTCTTTACACATATGCACATGTGCACCCACAAAACACACACAGGTGAATACATACACAGGTGTATATATTTTTCTGAGCCATTTGAGAGTAAATTGGAGACATGATGCCCCTTTACTCCTAAATGCTTCAGTGCATACTCCTTAAAACCAAGGGACTTCTTTCTTAAACAACCATAGTACATTGGTCAAAATTAGGGCAGTTCATGTTCAAACATTTGTCATTTGTCCTGGATACAGTCCAGGGTTCTGCAGTGCACTGAAATGTCATGTTTCTTTGATCTCCTTTAATTTGGAACAGATCCCGAATCTGTCTTTGAATTTCATAACATTAACATGTTGGAAGAATACAGGCCAGTGCTCTGGTAAAATGTCTCCCAGTTTGTGTTTGTATGTTTCCTCATGAGTAGATTCAGACTCTGCATTTCTGGCAGGATATCGTGGAAGTGATCTTGTGTTCTCGTGTGTCACGTCAGGAGGCCCAAGACTTCAGTTTGTCCCGATGTTGGTGATGTTAACTCTGGTGACTTAGTAGATGGAGGTGGTGTCTGCCAAGGTTCTCCAAAGGATTGCTTTCCACCTAGAAATAATGAGAATTACTTTAAAACTATGTTGTTTTCATCAACTCTTGCCCCTTAGTATTAGTATCCAGTGATGATTCTAGTTGACATTGTAATGTCAAGAGTGTTTCCTTCTCCATTATTTGCTAACATTTTGTTGAGGATTTCCACATCTGTATTCAAGAGGACTATTGTAGGCAATTCTCTTTTCCTATTATGCTTTGTCAGGGTTTAGAATCAGGGTTATTGTGGCCTCAAAAATTGAGTTGGGCCCGGCCAGGCGTTGCTCAGCGGTTGAGCGTCGACCTACGATCCAGGCGATCAGGGTTTGATTCCTGGTCAGGGCATATTGCTTGGGTTGCAGGCTCGATCAATGACTCTCTCATCATTGATGTTTCTATCTCTCTCCCTCTCTTTTCCTCTCTTTGAAATCAATAAAAGATATATTAAAAAAAAAAAAAATTTGAGTTGGGCAGTATTCCCTGTTCTTCTGTTTCCTGAAAGATACTGTTTAAGATTGTATGTATTATTTTCCCTTAAATATTTGTTAGAATTCATAGGTAAAACCTCTGGTCCTAGGATTTTCTTTGTGAGATGGTTTTGATAATGGATTCAGTTCTTTATGTGGGGCTATTGAGATTTGTTATTTCATCTGTGTCATTGGGTAAGTTGTGTATCTTAGGGAATTTAATTTTATCTAAGTTGTTCAATTTATTGGGATAAAGTTGTTTACAATATTTCCTTCTCTCTCTAAGGCCTGTAAGATCTGTAGTGTTATTCCTTTCATTTATGATATTGATAATTGGTATTTTCTCTCTTAATTTTTTTTTCTTGATCAGTCTTGCTAGGGATTTATCAATTTTATTAATATTTTCAAAGAATCAATTTTTTGCTTTCTCAATTTCTTTATTGCTTATTTTCTCTTCAGTTGATTTCTACTGTTTATTATTTCCTTCCAATTACTTATGTTCAATTTGCCTGCATTTTTCTAGCTTCTTTAGGAAGATACAGTAATTTTAAGTCTACCTTTTCCATTTTAAGCATTTAAAGCTACACATTTAATGTTTATATTTTTGTGATATATTGACCCTTTAATTAAGACATGACTTTTTAAAAATCTCTGAGTATAACCTGTATCTTGTAGTCTACTGTGATATTACTATCACCACTCCAGCATTCTTACACTTACTGTTTGTCATTGTATGTTTATATTCTTTTGCTCTCAACCTTAAATGTTTTACATTTAAAGTGTTCCTGTTTTTGATAGCATATAGTTGGGTCTTGTTTTTATATCCAGTCTGACAGTTTCTGCCTTTTAATTGGAATGTTTAGTCCATTTATGTTTAATGTAATTATTGATTATCTTTGGATTTAACTTTACCATTTTGTTATTTGTTTTCCATTTGTCTCATCTGTTTTTGTTCCTCTTTTAATTCTTTCCTGCCTTCTTTTGGGGTAATTGAGTATTTTTGTAGTACTGCGTTTTAATTCTTCTGTTGAAGATTTAAAAATATATAGCACATTGTAATACTGTATTTCCATTCACTCCCTTTCCTCTTCTGTGCTGTTTTTTAATATACATTATAACATGTATATTACATTATCAACCTGATATGATGGTATTATAATTTCTGATATAAACACTTGTATCTTTTAAAGAAATTACAAAAAGAGAAAATATGTATAGCCTTTTATACTCACATTTTTGCCATTTTTGGTACTCTTTCTTCCTTTTCTGGATCTGAGCTTCCACTTCCATCTGGTATCATTTCCCTTTGGCCTAAAGAACTTCCTTGAATACTTTTTTTTAGTTTGGTTGGCTGATGATAATAAGGTCTTTTTGTTTTTATCTGAAAATGTCTTTATTTTGCCTTCATTTCTGAAGTTATATTGGATATAGAATTGTGAGTTGACAGGTTTGTTTTTGTTTTTTCTTGCAGCACTTTAAAGATATCCTTTTGTCTTCTGGAGAAGTCAGTTATCCACACTGTACTCCTGCATAAAAAGTGTCCTTTTTCCCTGGTTGCTTTTGAGATTTTTTTTTCTTTATTTTTGCCGAATGCATGCTTATCTTACTTTGTATTTACTGAACTCCTTGGATTTGTGTGTTGATGCCTTCACCTAATTTGGGAAAATTTGACTATTATTTCTTCAAGTACATTTTTCCTGTGCCTTTTCCTCTTTCTCTTTTCAGTCTGGGGCTTAGATTATACAAAGTTGGGGTGCTTGATATAGTCCCACAGGTCTTTATAGTTCTCTTTTCCCCCCGCATCTTTCTGATGTTTAGATTTTGTCATTTTTATCAACCTATTTTTAAGTTCAGTGACTCTTTTTGTCATCCGCAGTCTGCTGTTAGGCCCATCTATTAAATTTTTTATTTTAGTTATTGTGCTTTCCAGCTCTAGAATTTCCATTTTGATCTTTTTTATAGTTTCTAATTCTCTGTGATGTAGAGATTTCCTATATGTTCTTCTTTATGCATATGTGTTCTTTTTAAGCTTTGAACATATTTATAATAGCTCCTTTAAAATCCTTGCCTGGTAGTTGAAACATTTGGATTATCTTGGTATTGATTCCCATTAACTGCTTTAAAAAAAGATTATGGATCACTTTTTGCTATCAATACATAGGTAGTTATTTTTAATTCAGCACTAAACATTATAAATGTTACACTGCAGAGGCTCTGGATTATTTCTCTAAGGTGGTTTTTTATGTAGTTTTATGTAGTAGGCAGTTATCTTGTCTGATCTCCAACTCCCAGCTGTCTCCTTTGAGCAGCACTAAACTCTCTGTTCAGTTTGTTTAGTTTCTTGCTGCTGCTTTTCTGCTGGGTCCTCTGGGAGCTCCCCCTCACAAGTGTAGTTTAGCAGCCAGCCAAAGAACTTACTTGCAGATCTCTCTGATTGCAGTTCATCTTTTAAGGGTAGCCTCCCCTCCGTTTTCTGCCTTCTGGTTGCTCTCCAATGGTTGTTTTGAATGTGTTTTTTTCCCCCTCCAAGATTCTGTAATTGCTATCTGCAAGAGTTGTAAGTCTGACCAAGCTACTGTGTTATTACCAGAAGTCTTTATTATTTTTAATTTCTTCTGTGAGATTTCCTATCTGTTCATTTGTTGTGCCCTATTTTCATTTTAGTCTTTGTGCATATTTAATAGCTGTTTTAAAGCCCTTCTAAATTCAGCTCGTTCTAACATCTGGGTCTTCATTGGGTTTGTTTCTACTGACTAATATTTATCTTGAATATGGGTCACATTTTCCCATTTCTTTTCATGTCTATGAATTTTTTATTGCCTATAGTATGTTCTTGATGAAACATTGTAGAAACTCTGGATTCTATTATTTTTCTCTGAAGAATGTTGACTTTGTTCTGGCAAACAGTTCAGATTCTGTTTCCCCTGCAGTAGTCAGCAACTGAAACCATTCAATTCCTTTTGCCTTCAATCTGTTGTTTTTCTCTGGGAACCTCACCATCTCCCCTGTACATGTATGGATTAAAGTAGGATTTAATCACAGATTTGCCGGGCTCTTCCTTTCTTAGCTGCTTCATTCCTTCCTTCCTAGGATTTCTACCCTCACTTGCCAACTGCTTTGGCAACCTCAGCCTCTGTTTTCTGACTTCTTAAACCAGTAATACTATAGCTTTTGCTTGAGGTCCAGCTACTCTGCATAGCCACACAGAATGGGGATGTCCAGGGCAAAAAAGCAATAGCAATCCACGTTTTCCCCGTGTGGTTCCTGTCTCTCAGGATCTGTTCTCCTTTAGTTGCCACCAGCATTTGATCACTCTCCAGTGCCTACAGGTAGCTTTTTGTACTGCATCCAGATAGCCCACCTCACCACTGTTTGGTTTTGGTCACAATGCTTAACCTCTTTGAGTGTTAATTTCCTCATTTGGAAAAATGAGGTTAAATAATACCTTCTCATAGGGTTTTGGGAAAGCAAAACGAGTTACTGCACATAGATTGTTCATTTATGTGTTGGGCATACAGCGGCTCCCTACAATAGTAACATTTGAGCTTTAGACAAACCCTGTTTGAGTAAAACTTGAGAGAGATTTGGCCCTTTATTGATCATAGAACTCTATAGAACTCAAAAGAAGGTGTTCTTTGTTTTCACTTCTTGGGTATATCGTATTATTTTGAATATTAGCTTTTGGAACATAGATAGTGATATGTGCGACACAAGCTTTGGTGTTTCAAGTGACTGGTATTCTTCTTTATAGATCATCTGCAAACTGGCTTCAGTGCTGAGCAAGAGCACAGTTGAACGCCTGCTGCTCCCTCGATTCTGTGAATTGTGTGGTGATGGGAAGCTTTTTCAAGTTCGGAAGGTGGGCACATGCTTTAAAACGTTAAAAATTTCAAAATCCATTCCTGTAAAGTTTCTGGAAGAAAAATGTGGCCAGTGTGAACTGTGTGAGGAGAACACCTGAACAGTGGTGCCAGTTTTTACTGTAGTTAGGGAACACAGAACACCTGGAGATGAGATTGTGTAAGAGTAATGCTGCTGTTCTCAGGCGCAGGAGGGCCAGCTCGGGGACCATGCTAGATGTGATTGGATGCCTTTGCCCAGGCAAGCAAAGCCTTTCACTTTCTGGGGTGATTTGCCACACCTTCTAATTCTTATCCTACCCGCTCTCTTCCCTTTTAGTCGCTTTTCGCTTGGTTGTCAAAGTCTTCCTTTTGAAGGCCAGTGCTACCCCTCCCAGGACAGCCTCACCTTCCCTCCAGTCTCTCCCCATGACTCACCAGCAAGAAGATCCATCTCATTTACCATTCGGAGAATATGAAGGGTCTCTTTTGCTCTGTCCTAACCAAATGCATTATGTATTGAGATCAATTAGGAGCCAGAAAGTGCTAGAATTTGGTACTGTATTGTAAATCTTCGGTTTCCAGTGCATCGGCGGCACCTGGGCAGTCTGTGTGGGCGATGGGCTTAGTGAGTGCTTGTTAGCTGCCTCGCTAGAGGAGTAATTGCTCTCAAGGTCCCTGCTTGTTAGTCTGCACAATTTGCTAAGACAAAAAGAAAGGTGAGAATAATGGGTGTGCCTTTTGCCTTTTTAAGGTGTGTGCTACAAATTTCGGTGATATTTGTCACGCCGTTGGAAAAGAAGCCACTGAGAAATTTTTGGTACGTGAAGTTTTGCCAACTGTAATTGCTGATGCATTTGTTAGGGCACTTTTAAAATCCATCATAAAGTTTTGTGCCTATGAGTCTGTTTCTTTGGAGCGGCAGCTCAGTTTTACATTCATCATTTTCAAATTTCTTGACTTCTGAAGCGAGTGTTTCTCATAAGCACAAGGCAGCTGGCCTGTGGAACGGAGAGGAAGCAACCCTGTCCTCCTTCCTGTGGACCATGCTGTCGCCTCCTCACTGGCCACTTCCGCAGTCTCCTCTGTTCCTCCCTCCTGCTCTTTCTAGAACAGGACACTAGAACACTGCTCTACCTCCTCACTCCTGGACATCAAAACCTGTGGGATTGTTTCTTGGTTTCCAGGGTAACATCCAGACCCTCTTGGCTTTTCAGGTCCCTTCACAAGCACCTTTCCTGCTTCACTTCCAGTCACCTCCCTCACGTCTGAACACTGCCCGGGCCTGGATGTGTCTCCCCTTTGGCCATGCATCTGAGTCATGGGGAGGGCAGAAGGGGGTAGTGTCAAGTCCATATTTTTGATAAATTCCCTCATGATTCTGAGACAGAGAGGGATAGAGCACCACTTCACGAGCCAATGGTGACTCTTCTGCTTGTTACTGCCCCACTTCCAGCATCGTTCCAACCTGGTGGGACCCTGCTCCCATGTCAGACCCAGCTTGAATATGCACGTGTCTCCATCAGGGCCTTTCCTGGTCCAGATTCACCCTGTCCCCAAATCTGTCAGAGAGCATTTGTTTCTTCCTTTTCAGCACCCTCAGGACAGTTTGTTCAGAGGACTTGTGTGTCCCTCACCACCCCCATTCTAGTCTGGCTGATGCGGGACCTTCTCCCCATCACATTTGTCCTTGCTCCCCGGTGCCTGCCCAGGCCCTGCCCCTGGAGAACACTGCTCAGCACATGCTTGCCACTTTATTTGACAGGATATACCACCTAAGGGGTGGAACCTAACCTCAGAAAGTATAATCTTTAAATTGACTTTTAAATTTAAGTTCAGAAGCTCATTTTATTTAAAGTTTAAGCCATGTCACCCTGGCCAGTGTGGCTCCGTTGGTTTAACCCCATCCTGAGCACCGAAAGGTTACCAGTTCGATACCCAGTTAGGGCACATGCCCATGTTGTGGGTTCAGTCCCTGGTTGGAATGCTTATGGGAGGCAACTCATCAATGTTTCTCTCTCACATTGATGTTTCTCTTTCTCTCTTTCCCCCTCCCTTCCTCTCTCTCTAAAATCAATAAAAACATTTTTTTAATGTTTTTTAAAAGTATAAGGCATATCAACATAGTTCTAACCTCAAAATAATTCTTGGTGGCTGTCGCTTTGAGTGCACGGAGTGTTTCCTTCCCCTCACTGCGTCTGAGTGAAGCCAACAGTGACCAGCATGCTCGCCTTCCCTCAGGCAGACGTTCCGGTGTCACTTGTGCCCTTTTGTGGTGCTTTTTGGCTGGTTATTTGCCCGTAGAAAGTGACATGTGTCACAGGTTTCATTTAGCTCATGTATTGATGAGGGAGCCAGTGAGATGTGACAACTGGTTTAATGGAATTGAAGTGCCACACAGGGTCGGACCCAGGAATCCCAAAGTGACCTTACAAATGGACTCACACCTGGTCATAGCCAAGGCGATAATGTTTCCATTTCTGTGGCCAGTTTTTAACAATTACCTCTATCACTGAGATACCGCAGTCAAAGACCGTGGTACCTGGATGGCTGAGCTCTTTGGGGTAACCACTGACTGTCAGAGTCATTCCCAGTATTTCTCTGTAATCACATAACAAATATCAGTCTTTCTGCCTTTGGGGTTTTTTTATGTGTTTTTTTCTCTTTTACCTTGTTAAATTTAATCAAGTCATTTACTGGAAGTAAGAGGTGAAGGAAATGTTGCTTTATTCTACTTGTCATAATTTCTATTGGTTTCAAAGGATTCCTTTTAGACTAGGGTATATTTCCCTTTTCTTTGTCATTAATTTATGGATATGCCTTAAATGCATCATTAAAACAGCTCTGCCCTTCCACAGTGTAACCAGATTGAGTAGTACGATTTTATTTGCTTTGCTAGATCCCAAAGTTCTTTGAGCTCTGCTCAGATAATGTTTGGGGGATGCGAAAGGCCTGTGCGGAGTGCTTCATGGCAGTGTCCTACAACACATCCCCTGAGGTCCGCAGAACCCAGCTGTCCCCTCTCTTCATCCGCCTGGTCAGCGACTCCTGCCGATGGGTAAGCACGGGCCTCGTCTTGGAGTCTGGACTTGTGACAATATGTTTTGTCTTTTCAGTCACTGATTGTCACATTTAGACCTTGTGAGGCTTAGGGCACCTAAAATCTCAAAAGCTTTGGTGAAGTTAAAAAAGTGACTCCCACCGTCACATTTATAGTGAATGAATTTCATAGAAATGAGAAATGAGAAGGAAAAGACTAGAACTGTGAATTGTTGCCCTTTCTGTTCTGGTTGTAAATATGCTGCAGTGATTAGGAAGGTCTGCACAGATGCTTTATAAAGTCTGGAATTATTTGATGTGGAATTAATATTCTGGAAGACTAAAAACTACATGGTAGTGCTAAATTTCTTCTTGTTTTCTGTTGAAAATAGTTTATTTGGAATTTAGGGTATGCCTTAGAAAGCAGTAAGTCAGCTCAGACAGTGAATGGCCTAGTGATCTGTCCCCTGTTCAGCTTGGGGTCAGACCTGGCCTAGCCACGTTCACGTGCTCTTCTCTCTGGTTTCAGGTGCGCCAGGCTGCCTTCCAGTCCCTGGGCCCCTTCATTTCCACCTTTGCAACCCCCTCCAGGGCTGGCCTCTATATCCGAGAGGACGGCACCCTGAGCATCGGGCCGCCAGCTCAGGGTGCGGGGTCCAGCTTCACATACGGGTCAGCCGACGCAAGCAGCCATGTCGCCGCTGCATCAGCCTGGTAAGCTCTGACCCAATGATTACCAGGATCCCGCTTCACCTCAAGCGTCCACCGAAAATTCTAGCAATTATCTCGTCTGGAGTTTCAGTAACAGTGACCTTCTGGGCAAGATGGAATATTAGAGCTTTAATTATGTAAAGAAGGAAAAAGTAATTGCAATAATGAGTTTGAAACATGACTACTGGGTTATAAATAATGAAGCTACTGTGTCTCCTAAATTTAGATAAAATATTCATTGAGAGTAGTGATTAAATAACCTATGAAGAAAATTTTCTCTTACTTTTTGATTAATGAAGTTCTTTGGATAATGTACCTGGGAAAAATGTGAAGTTTCCCAAATGTACCTTTGTGCCATAGAATATTTCATGCTCATAATGGTGACATTCCTGATCCACCATCAGTAGACCCTACACTGGTTTTTCTAATAAATTCTAGTGATTGATCTTGGGTATTTAAATATCTTTTCTCTGAGAATGATGGGTGTGTGCTAACCAGACCATTCAAATTCATAGGCATCTCTCTATTGGTAACATCATACGGGAGTGCGAGAGTAGGTAGTTCACATCTCAGTACTGATCCTTTATGAGTTGGGTCATCCATCCCTTCATCCATCTCCACCAAGACTCATGGAGCCCCTGCTGAATGTCAGGCCCCAGGCAGCATCTTCCTCATCAAGACTTTCCAAGTGGTTAACCACCAGCCAGCACTTGCCCTCTCCAGCCCCTTGCATTTTCTCATGCCTGGCCCCTGGTGGAGGTCCTAACAGGCAGTGAGCGCAGGAGATCTCACTACTGAAGGTATGCCATCAGAAGCCAGGCTTTCACCACCTGCCTATAGTGGAGGGATTGGCTGAACTTGCATGTGGCATTTTCAGAGTACACCACTCTCCCAGAGGGTTAGAGGTGGCTGGTCGGACCTCTCATCCTCTCGTGAGGCCATTATCTTCTGGGAGACACAGCAGGTTGGTGGCCAGGTCAGGAGGAGGACCGGGCTTGTGATCATGAGGATCCTGTGTTTTCGCACTTTACTTCCAGTCTATTACACATTGCTAAAAGTTTGCCCTCCTCAATTTAACCCAGCTCAACACAGCCAGGGCAGAAAGACCCACATCCATCCTTGGGAAGCCCATCAAGGGAAACCGGCAGTGTCCTGCATGTCAAGAGCTCCTGTGATGGCCCAATGGAAAACCCAATGGAAGACTCTGGCTTGGCTGAAGGCAAGGAGACCAGTGCCTTCTCGAAGCTCCTTGATATTAACAGCCTCCCCATCAGCAGCCACCCTGGACCCGGCTCCCGGGCCTCCCCAGGGAGTCCTGAGGATGCATTCAGTACTTTCCTTTATTGGCGGACTCCTCTCCCTGACATAAGCCAGGACTTGGAGCTGCTTCTGAGTGCAGCTGGGCTGCCGGAAGAAGGCTGCTGCACACCCGAGACTCTGCACAGCAGCTGTGTGGCCAGGAGCGAGATTCAGAAAGTCCTCGACAGTTTGCAGGAACACATGATGAATGACCCGGATGTTCAAGGTCAGTGTTGTCCACAGTGAAAGGGGAGAATGGGGCATTTCTGGGACTGTGTTGCTGCATGTGTGCATGTACTTACCTTTGGTACATCTCACCACAGCCAGAACCTCAGCATCTCCCTGCTGATACTGCAGGGGTCCTGTCCTGCCTCCTCGCGTGCAGTCGTGCAGGTCTGATGTCAGTTCTAACAGCAGAGAGTTCTCAGGCTTATCTGTGGCGGTGGGGATTTTATTAGCTCCTCGGCTTCCATTCCATCCTTTGCTGAGTTCTAACGCCTTCTAGTTGTGAACAGCTACAGCTGCTGCTCCTCTTGGAGCCTGTTAACTCAGCCCTGAGCTAAACTTTGAGGTTCCTGTCTTTCACGACAAGGAAAAGTACAACTTCTTCTTGGGCATTTTTCATTTTATGACCAGTACTCCCACTGAGCGTCGGATCGGGGAGCCAGGCCCTGCAATCCATATCCATTATCACGCCTCTTCTTTCTCAAAGCAGTGCTATATTTGTATTCTTCCTTGAGTTGGGGAAATTGGAAAAAAACAACACTTGCTGCTGTTGCTGGGCAGATTTGTGACGCTTTCGGGAAAGGAAATGTGAAAATCCAGTTAGCCCCGTGATTATTCTGTCTTTAAATTGATAAAGGAAATTAAGTCATTGTTTGCCGAAGGAATGAGCATGTTACATATCACTTCCAATAGCCATAGACAAAGGTCTGGGTTTGGAAAACGTGTTTCTAAAGTTGCATTAATCTCTGTACTGAGCCCTGGACTGGGTGCTGGGGCAGCAGTGACAACACGGAAGGCCCTCGTGGTCCAGTGGAGGGGACTGTGTAAACATGGGTGTGACGGGCTGGGGCAGGAGGGGGGCATGACGTGCTGTGGGATCTCAGTGCAGGAAGCTGATCATTCCTGGGGACAGAGGAAATGTCTGGGAGAAAACTCTGCGGGGCAGGTGGCATTTGAAGTGGGCTTTAAAGGATGGCTAGGAATCCATCGTCGGGAGAAGTTGAGGGTTGAGTCTCATAGGTTCTTTCAGGTCTCTGAAAGCGTTTTGTAAAATCTTACCACGTACATGTATGTTTAATTTCTTTGTAAGAAAGGACCTACTGCTTTCATTAGCGCACAGAGGGATCTGTTACCCTCAAAGATTCAGAAATAAGTGACACCTTAGGTATCTTTGATCAGAGATGTCACTCAGGCCATGGGGAAGGCCTGGTGGGTGGCACTGAGGGGGTGGACCTTGTTCTGGGCACAGTGGGGAGCCAGCTACATGCTATAAGCATTTTAATGAATCTTGGAGTCTCTTGAATTTAACCAATAGAAAACAGAATGCAGAATGCAGTAAGTCTTGTGTGTGCATGTTTGGAGGTTTGGGACATGGAAACATCTGTCTTTGTTTATAGGAAGGTATGTAGAATATGTCATCTTGACCATTAGGGGGTCTCAAACAGTCATGCTGTGGACAGAGAGCATGAGCAGCCTTGGGTGAGCAGGACCTTGACTCATTCGTGTGTATGTAGCCGGTATGATTCCTGTGCGTGCGTGGATATGTGTGTGGGAGGGGGGATGCGGAGATGGCAGCCACCCTGCTTTATAAATGAGGGAGCAGGCTCCCGTCCGTGAGTCAGCGGTCGCCCCGGACGTTGGCATTCCGTAGCACCGTGTTGTCTTTCTGGGAAAGATGATGGAGTCAAGCTCTGATTTCACAGTTGAGGTGTCCCACACTCAGATTTGATGCTGTGTGTATGGCTGGCGTTCAGTTGGAATGGTTGAAGTTAATGGCAGTAAACATCACCACCTGACTAAGCGCTCCTAGGACCCCAGAGCACGGTTACTGTGGGGACAGATGTGGGGAAGATGAGCACATGTGCGGTGCGCCATATCCACAAAGCAGATCAAGTTATTGAAATTCTTGAAACTTCTCTCTCTGCAGCTCAAGTTCAGGTGTTATCAGCTGCACTGAGAGCCGCACAGCTGGACTCTGTGAGTGAAGCCTCGCGCCAGCTGGCAGACGGTCTAAGCGAAGTGTCCCTTTCAGACCCCAGCCCTGCCTCTGACAGTCAGCCGGCTCCGTCGGCCTTGTCCCCACAGAGCGAGCCCTCTGTGGCCAGGATATCACAAAGCACAGTAAGTCTTTGGCCTCTCCCTCAGCCACCGAGGATGTGACAGAAATCACAAAGCTGCTCTCTTATTACTAGATCCTGGTGGAGATGATAAATGGCAGGTTTAATTTTATTCTTAAGGTCATGTTTTGGATAACTAGACAACCAATCAATTGGGTGATTGATAACCCTGACTTTCCTCCACAGAGACAGGTGGGGACCAAAAGTACCTTTCCTCTTCTTCAAAGATGATGAGACCTGCTTCTTGGGGGGTGGGGGTTAACCAGATCAATACTCTGTCTCACTGCCCACCAACAGTTGGATCTTTGAGTAGGAGCGGAAGGTGAATTCCTGCAGCCCCTCGAGGGTAAAGTTGACAGAGGCCATGGAGGTTTGTCATCACCTCTGGCCCTCACCTTAGAGGCGCTCTTTCAAGACACGGTCACTCCCGCAGGGGTGCCAGCATGCCGTTTCTCTGGGAGAGGTTCGGGCAAGCTAACATCTCCCCAACTCTATTCCCTGCAGTCTGGAACCAGCCCCATGAGATGGGACTCGAATCCTGGGTGGGAGGGAGCTGTGACTTGTTTCTTAGTTCCAGTCTCTCTAGAAGCTTCCTAGCTTGCTTGTGGTGGGAGGCTCTAGTGCCTCCCTAATTCCTACTGAACTTGCACTTGGGCTGCCTTGAGCTGGGGTCCTTCATAGGTCAGATGAGACTAAAGAACTAAAATTAGGGAGGGGTCCATGATCAAAGTCATGGGCGTGTTGGCACCTTCTCATTTTCATTGTTTCTCCATTCACACAGTTCATAACTTGATTCTAGCAATTCGGCTCACGTATCATGTCCCTAGGCCTGCGCCAATAAAGCAAGACAAAAGACCAGCTTAAATAGCCTAAATATAAAATGTCTAAGAGTTTGTTAGGGTTATCCTTATTAGTAAGAAATGAGGTGCTCTCCAATTTTGCTGGTTTTAGGAAAAACAGGCAAGAAAACTCATGTGTTACCCTTGCTGAAATCAGACATGTTAGGTAGGTAGAAAGGTGTGGCCACATTTACCTTGGTGGGCATGTGACAGTCTTCAGGCTTTCCTGTCCTGTGTGGAACTGGACAAAGGAAAAAGAACCAGTTCTTCCACATTGGCCCTTTTGAGAGGAAGCTCTTAAAGGGCTCCTGTCATCAGCCCTTGGTTTGTGGTGTGGGATGTCAGGGCTCTTGAATTTGCAGCTTGACCCTTAGGTTCCAGTAGGATCAGTCAGGATGCTTCCAATTGCAAAAGAAGGAAACAGAAATGAAAACTCAGAAAGCTTAGACAATGAGGACTGTCCAGACAACTGGAGAGGAGCTACAGCTGGGGGCTGGCGCCTCAGCTCCTGACTTTATCCCATTCTACGCATCCGCTCTGCCATCTTGGCTCACTAACTTAGTCCCGAAATGCCCAGTGGGAGGAGGGGGGCCTCTTTTTTCCTGACTTCTCTCTTGACTGCCAGGCAGTTTTCTGGGGAAATGAGCTCAAAATACCTTTGGGGGCTGCCTGAACTTGTGGTGGTTACAGAAACCTGAACTTGTCTCCTAGAGCAAGTGCCGTCCACACAATTCCAAATGAAAACTGTGGAATAAAATTAAGTCCTGAAAGAAGAAAAGTGATTTATTATTTATTAATCAATGTGAATTTATTAAGTTGGAGAAATTGAGGTCTTAGGTTATCATACCAATACTTTTGTTTTATTGCGCCCTCTATTAAAATAAGCAGTACATTTCAGTGAAGACCTTGGGGATTGAAGGTTCTGGTAGTGTGTCTGAGCCAACGAAGCATTTATCGGTGTATTAATCGACTCTCCTGGATCATATATTGAGCTGATTTGTCAGAATCCATTAAGCTGGTGGACAGTGTGACATTTCAGTGCAAGTAGGAAACCCATGTTCTGGTTGCAGCAGAAGGTCAGGTCCATCTCAGTTAATGTCAATCAATGATCAGAGACCAGCATGTCACTGTTGAACGTTCTGGCACATTTTAATTGTTAACCTAATGTAAGGGTTCACCGGCAAACATGAGAAGTGTTTGTACATGTAAAAGTCCAGAACAGCTCTCCAAGTACACGTTCCTCATCAGCCACGTCTGTCACCTCAAGTTAGGTGAGGCTTCCCTGCGTCACCATCTTCTCTCAGGCCCAGCATGGATGCGCTTGCTCTCCAGTGCCCAGGCAGCACCAGACAGGTGTGCTTCAAACCTCACCTGCCTCCTGGAGTCCAGGCCTTAACCCTGTGACTGTGCATACAGGCATGGTTAACCACACGGGGGGCCCCGGGGCTTAAAGAATGGTAAACATAGACTCCAGCTGTTGGTACTCGCCAGCGTTAGCCTCAAGCAGTTTTGAAATGAAAATGTATGAAATCTGTTGCCTTGGCACTTAAATTCACCGACCTACTCAATATCATGTAACTGTGCAGATGTATTTCCTAACACCTGGAGAGAGAGATTTGATTTAAAGGGAAGCTCTGGTCTTGGTTCACAGAAGTCATTTCTGGTATTGAAAGAGGGTTCTTTGAAGGCAGGGGCAGTAGGACAGCTTCCTCCTTGGAGCCAGTTGGTAACAAGCTTTGTCCCTTTTGCAGAATCCAGGTGAACTCCACAATGGAACTTGTGACCGTCTGGGGACCGAGCAGAGGCATGACCCTGTCCCTCTTGAGGAGAATAAATCTAAGTTACAGGTTTGTTCCTTGAACAGAAAGCACCTCAAAACTCACATCTCTGGAAGGTAAATTTAAGAATGGCCACTGGAAGCAAATGTTTTTCTTCCATCAATATTCATGACATATCTTAGTTTACAATCTATGGTGCTAATATTTCCTCTCTAACTTAAAAAAATAGTAAACTCCAAAGTAGTGTTTAAAGTCTTGTGAATAATCTAGAATAGTATTTTCATTAAAGCAAATCAAATACAAGAAAAAAATCTGACATCTGTACAGTAATATTTAGTGTCTATATAAGTCATTTTGCCTTTGTGTGTGAAAAGTTTCTGGCAGTTTTTTTTGTTGAACTGTTTGGCTTTGTTCTGTCTTGTGGCTTGGCTTCTTATGCTAGGTGAGTTCTCTTAAATGCTTTTAATTTTTGTACCCCATCGCCTTACAGAGATGAAGGTAAGTGGGTGCTCTCTCACGTCAGCAGTATTCCATCAGCTGGAAAGAATTAGTAATGATCAATTGTAGGGGTTCAGGCCCTATGTGCTGGGGCCAGTTATAAGAAAAGCTAGTTTCTATTCTCACGAGCATTGTGCACCAGATGAACCAACATTCTAGACTGTTCTCTACGACATCAAATGTTGGATGAATTTAGAAAGGATGAGTGTGGGCATTGCTTTAACTTCAGTCCAAGTTGAAAACTTGCAGAACGAGAAGTTTCCCAACTCAAAGCTTTAGGAGGGCCTCTCACATTTTTGCTTTTCTGTTTTCATTTCCAACTTCCAAACTCTTTGTTTTTCATGAGTCTTCTGTTTCTCTCCAGCAAGAGTGATGGTTTCCTTTCTCTCCCGTGTTCCAGGATATAATACCTCAGCCCCTACTGGATGAGTACGTGTCCATGACTGACCCGGCTCGGGCCCAGACTGTCGACACTGACATAGCCAAACACTGTGCCTACAGCCTCCCAGGGGTGGCGCTCACGCTGGGCAGGCAGAACTGGCACTGCCTGAAGGATACCTATGCAACACTGGCTTCTGACGTGCAGGTAAGGGCCACAGGAGGGCATCTGATGAGGAAAAGGCGGGAAGCTACAGCAGGCCCACGACCTGTATTTCCATGACCATGGCTGACACGTTTACTCTCTCTGAGGAAATAAAGCTTTAAGTGGCCAGCACCTGGCAGCATCAGTTTTGCTTCAGAAATACCCTTCCTGCTCTTGATAACGGGGCATTGTGCTTGCTTTCTGTGGCTCCTGTCTGCTGTGAACCCCAGTGGAAGGTACGTCGGACCCTGGCCTTCTCCATCCATGAGCTGGCTGTGATTCTCGGGGACCAGTTAACGGCTGCTGACCTGGTGCCTATCTTCAATGGATTTTTAAAAGACCTGGACGAAGTACGAATAGGAGTTCTTAAGCACCTGTATGACTTCCTGAAGGTAGGAAGAGGGATTAAAAACAAAATGCAAACCTCCCTCCCCTTAAAAACAGCTTTAACCCTGGGTAGTAGAGTATCGGTGGGAAAAATAATGCGGGCGTCTGGGTTTTTCAGTTGAAACATACCATCCAAAATCTTAAAGCGGGTGTTCTTTTGGTGATGGGTAAATGTTTCTGTACTGTTCCTCCTCATCTCCCTGTCCCTTGGAGGTCTGTTTTGTGGAGGATGGTGGGCAGGCAGCTCCCAGAACCAGAAGCAAGCAGGCCCCTGGGTAGGGCGGCCTTGCGTGGCACAGCCTGCTTAAATCGGTCTCTCTTGTGCACGCAAGGCTTTTCCTGCAAGATGAAGTTGCTTCCCTGCTTGCCTGGGTTTTGTTTTTCTCCCTCCTAAAGGGATGTAAGTATAAGAGTTTAAAAATGACCCACAGAAACGAATCACTTGCATCCCCAAGCTGAGTTGATTTCGAAAGACTCTGGTGCCCAGCTCAGGTTTTCCCATGGCTCAGGCGCCGCGAGTAGGGCCAACTCCCCCGGGAAGCAGCCCTGGTGTTTCCTCCTGAGCACACACAGATGGGGGTTCTTGAGGCAGAAGTCCTGCAGGAGGACAAGCTAGAGGCACTAGGAGCATACAGCACCTGCAGGCTACGTGGCATCTGTTCAAGCATTGTCCACACAGCTACACTGGGCCGTCCAGGCGGCAGGGGAAGGCACAGTTCTTGCCAGTGACAAATGTATAATCTGAAGTGTAATAAAACAGTATTATATGGGGTCATGTTGAGGGATTATATACTTTTATTTATATATACATTTTTAAAAAATAGTTGCTTCATGAAGACAAGAGGAGAGAATATCTTTATCAGCTTCAAGAATTTGTAGTGACCGATAACAGCAGGAATTGGAGGTTTCGATATGAACTAGCAGAGTAAGTAAAACCTGTGTGGGGCTATGAGAAGGAAAATTAGATGCAGTAAGTCTTCGTTTTCCTACCTTCTAATTGGTTTCTAAACTAGCAGTGATAGTGTTCTTTGGGATGAAGAGATTATGTTTTTATTAAGGGATAAACGGAGCTCGGAAGCCCTAAGTTACAAATACCTCTGTCTCCAGGAGACATTCATTTTCAGATGAAGACAGGGCCCAAGTCACTTTGGAATTAGAGTGTTCTGCTGTTCCATAAAGCAATTTATTCGAACCAAATAAAAGATGAATCACCCACTCTTCAATATTTTCCTATTAATCGCAGCCGTGTTTTGCCAGAGCTTTCTTGAACATTCCGAGTGTAGCCCTCTGCGGGGCGCAGCGTTGAGGCACTTCAGCCTCCGAAGAGCATGACGCTGCAGTGAGAGAGGAAAAGGTCTAACGCACATGAGCCGATGATGAAATAAAACCGCCTCCCAAGGTGGCTCCGATCCGTGCATCATCTTGTGTGTGAAGGAGTTATTTAATTCCGTCTGTGCCTGCAAAGGGACCGGGAGAGGCTTTAGCAATTCTAACAGAACGAAAGCATCACTTTAAATAACTTTCCTTCCCGAGGCGCATAATGTGATTTCTGCAGCATCGAGTGGATTTGTTTGTGGCGGTGCTGGTCTGGGTTTTAGTTTTCACCGTGTCGAGATTTATTTCAGTATCTTTAGTTTTCATTTTTCTTCCTCTCAACTAGAAATCTCTCAAATAGTTGTCTTCCTCGTAGAAACCCATCGAGCTTTTGCAGCTATTCAGGCTCTGACCCGGCCGATGCTGGGGGGAACTGGACGGTTTCTCTTTGCTGTGACCTTTGATTGTTATGCCTCATTTCAGCGATTGAGGTTTTAGTCATTATGCCGTGTGTCCAGCGTGTACTCTGAGAGAACAGGACAGGCCCGGGTTTCATGAATGCATCGCGCCCTCTAGCGGCAGTGTGGGAGCTCGGCAGGTCCGTCTCCGCCCCGCTGACCCTCTCCCGGGGCTGGGGCTGGGGCTGGGGCTGGGGCTGGGGC